AGTTCAAGTGTAATTCTTGAGTAACTGCAGTAAAGAAAAGTGAGGTCATCAGACTAGCTATGCTATCTGGCAGAAATGCTTACATCACAAAACTGGCACGCCATAATTACAAATCTTCAAAAACAATGGCAGTTCATATATATTTCAACTGTTTATTTCCCTTTAAGACTGTGGGGGGTTCCATCAAGCATTCCTAGCTACACAGAGAAAAGGTTTCTCAAAAATAATATGTACAGTGTCTGTTTTGTGTATTGTGATGATAATGGGATATATATTTTGTAATGACATGAAACGGTTCATTGTGACCCTTATACTGTTACAGCTTGACTGTGCAAACCTCTAAGGGAAAGCAATACTTATGATTTAAAGTCTGTACTGCATTGTTCTGCTTGCTGCATTGAAAAAAAAAAAACCATATAGTAACAATACTGGAAAAAATAGTAAAAAAACTGAGAATAGTGCTATATTATTCTCTGTAATAGCTGCCCATGCTGACCCAAGTGCTCGCCTAATACAGCAATATTCTATTCTACAGTCAGAATGAGAGAACGCGCCGCTGACTCGTCCCTGCTCTCTCCGTGATGATCCGATACTTTGAAATTCAATGATTACGCATAAAATATGTTAAATGCACAGATGAGAACCAGAGATAAAGGTTTTTACTACATTGGGAACATAGAGAGGGGGATTGATCAAAACTGGAGCAGACAAAAGCTGGAGCAGCTCTGCATGGCAACCAGTTTCTCTCTTTCATTTTCAAATCTTAACTGAACAAACTGAAGAGAGAAGCTGATTGGTTGCCTTGGGCAACTGCTCCAGTTTCTATCTGCTCCAGTTTTGATCAATTCCCCCCAATGTGTTTGCAATCAAAGAAGCATATTTGTTTATTTTTTGTAAAGTTTATTTTGTCAATATAACATTTAGCAGCTTTTCACTATAAATGGTTCATTGATGTGAATTCTGAAAACTGAAACCTGATTGGTCACTATGAGGGACTGCACCCTATACTTTGCACTTTTGAATTGTTTTTTGGAGATTCATATATAAAAATAATAAGTGGTTGACAAGGGCTTTAACATGTGTATCAGATAGGGGGGTAGTCATCAGGTGACTGAACTAGGTACTACCATCTGAAGCAGATTGTTCTCCAGTATTTATGTTCTTATACCTTCATTTCTAAATACATTTTGAAAAGTAACAAGTACATAGACTCACTGTTGTGTCATTGGTGGTTACATAGACCAGCACATCGGAGGAATTGCGGCTGTTGATGTATCGATAGCAGTTCCACACACAGCTGATTAGATAAGCCTGGAAACAAACACAAACAATTCATCAGTTTAAAAAGGAGCTTGGGTTATGATTGCATTAAAATAAAACCACTTATAAATATCGGTCATCTACATATAATTTAATAGAAGATATTTTTAGAACAACGGTCTGGCGCATATATTTATGTGTATAGTGTATTCTGGAAATGCCATACATACATATACATAGACTGCACAAAGAATGCTTACTTACTTGCTGCTCTCACTGTCTCTGAAATCTTGTAAGATTTCAATCATATGCAGTATAAATAGTCGGGTAAGACAGACGCTGTTGACATCACATGACCAATATATCGGGAACTCTTGGCAATGGGGTATCAGTTCAGCATTGTTCACATATCAAAGTGAAATAAGTCAAAGTGAAAAGCATATATTATTTTAGGTTTTTTTTTTTGTCACATTGGTCCCATTGGGGAGAATTCCCTCCATTTTCTCATTTTCTATCTCTTAAAGCTGGTTCATACCAGCCGCACATTAAAATGGTCCACCTTAGCGTGCAGCTGGTGTATGCTGGGTGGCAGTAGTGTTTAGCGATAATTTGTGTTGTTACACAAGGCACCACTTACCTTTTTTAAACTTTCTTGCCATTCAAGGGCTCCACACTGTGTACCCGCACTGCTGTGTCCTCCGGTGACATTCAGTACGCTGCTGAAAAATGCAAAATGTCTGCATTTTTCCGCTCTGCAACAGCACACCGGCACTGCGGTGTGAACGGGTCACACCAATCAAACAATATTTTCTATATGCCCTAGTATTGATCAGTTGATGAAAAATGCCAGTCACCGCTAGTGTTGTGAATGGGCCCTAATACACAAATGTAAAGCTGGCCATACACTGTTCTATTTTTTTTTTTCATTCAACTCACGGGCTGAACGAAAAAAAAAATAGAAAGGACTCTTCCATCGACACTGGCGAGCAGTGCCTGTTGGCTGCAGGCATCGTTGGCACAAAGATTTTCCAACAGGCTCCTTCGATCCTCTGATCAAGGGACGCGGGCTTGGAGGGTGCTGACAGCAGCGCCCACTGTGCAAATTTTGGCCGGGTTATGAAGAAATGTCAGAAATGTGCATAGTGTCTGGCCAGCTTTAGTGACAGAAATCTTTCCAAAGTCAGGAAAAACCTCTCTTGTCACTATTACAAGTCCCCATTTGAATACTTCCTTTCTATTCCTGCTCTGGTGACAACTCAAAATTTTGGATATTCCTTTAGATTCAGCCCCAGTGACAACTGGTCACCAGGACAAATGCAAAGAGTGAAACGGGCTTTATTAAAAACCTGGCAGAGACTCCAAAAGAAAGAAAATATGTTGGCTTTAGACACACTTTAAAGTCTACCAAAATGAATCATTATGGCCAGTCACATTGTTAAAAACCTGGCACCAACTAAAAAGAACTGCATAAAGCCTATGCTTCCTTTTTACAATTATTTACAAATGTAGACTGATTGCGCTGAATATGCATGATGTTTAGGAAACTCACCACTTACTACAGTATAAGCAATGTTGGCACTACACAGATGTGTGGGGTAAGAGCCACATGCAAGCCATTATTTGGAGCAGGGAATTGCAGATTATAAGGAGTATAAGGCTTTACATTGATCTGGGTCCACTTCCTGGAATCATGCATGAAATTACTCTGCGGCGCACATTTTCATGGTGCATGTTCAGAATTAAAGTGACACTAAACTCAGGAGTTACTGTAAATGTTAAAAATACAAGTCCCTTAACTATTAACAAAAATGTATCTTATTTGTGTATCACTTGTCTGTAGATCTCTGAATTGGTGCCTTCTGGAGGGTGGTTACTTTTGTTCCCCATGGTCCCTGTGTGTGTTGTAAAGTAGTCACCACTCCAATCTCGCTCCAATGATGGACTACAATCTCACTTTTAGTTTACTAATTTGTATTGAGATTGTAGGACATCGCGGGAGCGAGCTTGGAGCGGTGGCTACATTACAACACACACAGGGACCATGGGGAACAAAAGTAGCCCCCCTCCAGAAGGAAGGACAGACAGTGTCAGCACCAATTCAGAGATGATTTGAGTCATACACAGCGAGTGATACACAAATAAGATACATTTTTGTTAAAGGAGAACTATGAGATGAGTGATTTCCTCTCACCTCATAGTTCTAGCCGACCTGTGACAATGCGACTGTCACAGGTCGGCTCAGTAGATCGGGAGGTGAGCGAACACATACCAGGTTCACTCACCTCTCGATCCTGTCACGGCTCTCTACCCCGAGCCAGACTCGGGAATACCGCCAGGGAGGTTAATAGTTAAGGAACTTGAACGCATTTTTAAGATTTACAGTAACTCCTGAGTATAGTGTCACTTTAAGATAAATATTCATTTTATATTAATATTTTATATTGTGGCATTGCATGGCAATACCACTGTGTTATGTGGCCTCCAAATCTCCATTCCATGTGGTTCCATGCCTTTTTAATAGTGATTATGCACCTGTGTACAGCCCTCATGAAGAGGGTGCTGGGATTTGTTCAGGGCCCCCACCTGTGAGTCAGGAGAACTCCACCCAGGGGTCAGTGTGGAGGCCAGTGCAGCAGGGAGCTGCAGGTTCGTAAAACATATTGGAAGGATTGACATGTTATTGCAGTTGTCTGGAGGAACAAGACAGTGGCCCTGAAGATTGGGGCCGAAGCAGCAGTGCTGCAAGAGAGACTTATTAAAAGACTGGGACACCGTGAGTGTTTGGGACAACTCAAGGATTGGTGAGCCCGTATCTGTCATATGCTACAGCAAGTTATTTATGTTGGATTTCCTTTTTCTACCTTTGGAATTAATAAAAGACTGTCCTTTGTTCTGTGAAAACGCTCGCCATTTGTGCTAACCTCCCCAACGTCACAATATATATATAATATTAATATTAAATACATTTTATTTATTTAAAAAAAATACATTTTCTTTTAAAAACCCTGTATTTCGCTTTTTCATGATCAATAAGAATTCTTCTATTGTCTTGTCTAACCTACAACACTAGCGTCTTTTTTTAAAACTTTTCCGCTGTAAGTTCTTGTTCCTGAATGCTCCAAAATATTCTTTACGATAAGTATGACAGTAAAAATTCCCCACAATTTATCTTTCACAAAACTTGTTACATTAATAAAACATTTTTCATTTCTTGCTAAAAAGTCTCCTTTAATACACATCCATTTAGCTATAAAAGCATCAGGAATGTACAGGGGGAGTTGACTAGAGGAGACGCTGTAGAAAATGGAAAAAACAATACATTGAGATTCCAGTGAATAGGTTTTATTACTTTGTGTACACTCCTAACCTTTCTTTGCATTGCAGCATTATCATGGGAATTGCTTTTGCAAAGATACATGATATAATAACTATTATAGTTAATGCAGTGAGATGAGTGCGAGAGCTTGAGCCTCACAATGACAAAGCCAAGCAGAGAACTCTGCCATGACTATGTTTATTCAAGTGTTTAAGTTTCCTGAACAGATGTATAACCGCAGGGCTGCATCCAAGCCTCCCTATAAAATCATTATACAATTGTTTAAAATGCATTTGGGAACAGCGAGCAAGGAAATAAGTAAACTTGTTTTTCTCACTTTAGCTCCCATTGCTGTTCTATCTATGGGTCTTCAGGACTCACAATAATGCCCCACAAAAGTTTTTTATATTATATTAATTTAACTGTTCTGATCACAGAAAAAGAGTACACTGATACTCAGAACCCCACATTAAATATAGTGCAGCGTACCAATCCTTAGGTGTGCTGTATTAGTTTTCTTATTTATTATATTTTACTATAAAATATTATACATTAATATTATTTATTTTATGTTTTTCTTTTTTTTTTAACTGGTGATCCATCCAGTAACCCATTTCCTGTCTTAGGGTGGCTAAACTCTATGGAGGATGAAGGAACCCACCCTTGGACAGCAGCATTGTCACCCTGTATTGAGGGTAGTGTCAGATGCACTAGCAGATTTAAATGGACTGGGCTAACAAATTAAATCTGAACTCTAGATCATTCTTTTTAAACAGTTCCAGCAAGAGTTTTTTTTACCGTTCGAGATAAAGATTTTACATAAAGCTGACCATTGTAAGCACCCTGACAGTGTTAAATGGCTAATCTCAGCCCTCTATCTGCCACTTTTGCTGGACAGCTCCGCCTGGTAAAGGAAGTTCAAAAATAACAGACCTTCTGGCCGGATCACCAGGTGAAAATAAAGGAAATATAAAAAGCCTAAAAAAGAAAACTAATGCAGCTACCACATCTAAGGGTTGGTAAGCTGCAATATATTGCATTTTTGCTTTTGAGTTTGGATACAATTTAAAGCAAATCTGTTGCTTGGTAACAAAGCATCAGCAGAAAAATAACCGGACCTATAATAATCACCCATCTCGCTATTTCCCTGATTTTCACTCCCTTGCAGAACAATGCCCTTTTCCCATCCAACGCATGGGTGCATTGGATGTCTGGTTCCATTCTGCATACTGTGGTTCCTGCCACTTGCTCTTATGTCTCTATAGGAGGACGTTTTTACAGCCTGTGGCAGTGTATGAAAGCATTTGACACACCCGGAAGTGTCAAATGTGAATATTTTTCAGACAGCCATAGCTCTTTAGTAGAGTGAAGATCGTAGGGACGGATGGTGGGAACAGTGAGTATAAAACCTCTACTTTTGCATCCAGTTTTCTTTTCTTAATGATTGGTAAGTTGCAACAACACTAATCACATTTACATGGATACTGCTTTCAATATATATACTTTTCTGGATATAGTTTCCTAAATATTGGTAATAAACCATTATTTTGAAAATGATCTTTTAATATGGGGTCCTCTAGTGACACTGATTTTACAAATCATACTGGGGGTCCTGAATAGAAAGACTTGCATGCTTGCTGGCAGCCTGTGTACTACTGATGATCCCTACTAGGGATGAGAAAAAGGGTGTGTTTTTCATCTAAGCTGGCCATACACTGCTTGAATTTCCAGCCTTGTGTGGCCTTGTTGGCACCACTTTGTTCAATAAAAGTTGATTTTTATTCAACTTTTGTCGAAGAAGCCAGGCTGAAAATTGTTGGACAAACAGTGACTGTAGCCAATTAGCTGCTTCGTGTCACTGTTCATGTATTCTGACAGCTGCAGGTGCTGGTTATCAAGAATACTATAGCCCAGCGGGGGGAATTTCCCCATCCACACTTAGCATGGATGGGGGAATCAAGTGTACCAGTGTATGGCAAGCTATACTCCCCAGTCTGTGTAATCTGTTCTCCCTCCTAGTCAGGTATATTTTACAACACAGCTTTTATCTGGGTCCTACAGGAAGCTTGTAATCTTACTTAGAGCTTGCTGGCTGCAAGTTGTATATAGGAATTATTGATATGCCAGCTTTCATATTAACCTGATTGGTAAAAAAAAATTCCCACCCTGAACATATTAAATAAG